TTATTCCAAAATACCTTAATTAAAGGGTTAATGAGTAAATAGAACTCTGAACCCTTGCTCAAAAATTACTCTGGACCCTAAACTCTTAAAATATGCAAAATAAATTCTAAATTTTAAATTCATAATAAAATAAACATTAACCATTAACTTTTTAACACCATAACTATTCATGCAAGTACTGTAATAATTAGGGTTAAATTCGTAAAAAAATAAATTGTAAATAGTACCTGTATAAACAGTTACAGTGCTAAAAAGTTAACGGTTTGAGTTTATTTCGCTATGAATTTAAAAGTTTTAGAGTTTATTTTACATAGTTTAATAGTTTAGGGTCTAGGGCGATTTTCAAGTAATAGTTCATGATTCTATTTACTCATTAACTCTTAATTAAATATGTAATTAATAATTTTTTTCAATTAAGACACCCAATAAAATAAAGGTAAGCATGAACAAAGGGTATAATTTTAAAGATAATTAAATAACTTATTGAAGGAATTGATTTAATTAAAGATGTTTTATAATATTAAATGGAGGGAATATTAATTTGTAAAAAGATCAAAATTTTCTAAAATTCATTCCCTAAAGTTTCGTGAATTTGAAAGCATTTGAGCGGTCGGATAAATCAATGACAATAAATGCGTCTGATTTTGATTCATGGGTGACAATAGGAACATAGGGAAATATAAATATGTAATCTGTACATGAAATGGGAGAAAAAAAAATTGAAAGCATTTTGCACCAAATTTTACTATTTTGATCTCAAGCAAAGCATATGATTTCATTTATTATATGATAAAATCCTGAATATTTATTTAATCAAATTTTTTTATTTAAAAATATAAAATATTTTTTGACAAGTTAAATGTTAAAAAATATAAATATTTTAATTTTTTAAGGTGTATTTATTATTTTTTAAAAAGTATTTTTATTAATGAATGAAAGGAAGAGAAATGCCAACATTAGAGATAACGAAGTCGATACCATCTTCGACAATTCACTTAAATCAACGCGTTTCTCACATACACAGTCAACAAGCGCCAAGCAATCTTTTTCCACAATGACGTTGTCACTCTTCAAAGTTGCTGCTAACATCAGTCATTTCTTTAGTTTAGCGCTAGAGCTTTGAAAGCCGAAAGAGGGACTAAATTTTTGAGCTAATGAGTAAATAAAATTTTAAATTATTATTTAAAAATCATCCTAAATATTAAATTCTTAAAATATATAAAATAAATTATAAATTTTTAAATTTATAGCAAAGTAAATCCCAACTGCTAATTTTTTAATATCGTTACTGTCCATACAACTATTGTTCAGCATTTATTTTTCTATAAATTTAACCCTAACTGTTATAGTATCTGCGTGGGCAGTAATAGTATTAAAAAAGTTAACAGTCATAGTTTATTTTAATATAAATTTAAAAATTTATAATTTATTTTATATGTTTTAAAAGTTTAAAGTTGAAGATAATTTTTGAGCAAAAGTTCAAGGTTCTATTCAGTTATTAACCCTAAATTATTTTCCACAAAAGCCCATACAAAGTCCCCCCTGAAAAAATGATTTTTGCAAATAATGCCAAATATATTAAATATTTTTATTTTTTTAAGATATAATTAATATGCTTTTTTTAAAAAGTGCCCACGATAAATAAATTACTTTATGTTTATTTTAAAGTAAAATACCTTATTAAATAAGAATAAATATAAAAAGATATGTTAGTTTGAAGAAAATTAATTATTTTATTATAGGATATAATTTAATTAAAAATATTTATATTTTTAAATAAAGAGAATAATTTTTAGGTAGCCAAGAGGTGGGAATTTGAAGGTAAGTATCATAGGAATATCCATGATAATCACCTCCTCATTCCTGTTGGACTCCAAATAATCCAGAGTAACCAACACATGTGCAATACCAAACCAAACGGATTAATTCGAAAAGTTGGCTCACCACCAAACCAAATGTACTTGACCAATTGCAGAGGAAGCACAAATATTCAATGACTACATCACAGATTGGACATATTCTCGTATGCTACTGAAAGAGTCAGTAATTCAAGACAAATTCAACAGGTTCACCAAAATCTGTTTAAAAAAAATTAAGATCAAGATTGATTATATACCTTCTTTAAAGAGGGTATGATACTTTACATCGATTCAAATAAACTTGACCCAAATTAAGACTGACGCAAATAAGATGACTGTTAGAATTTTTGACTCTATATGTAAATAGAGTTGGTATTTTTAGCTAAGCCTTTTGGGCCTATCCAAACTCGATCAAAAAATATTAGAGTTAAGCTTGACTATATAAAATTTTTTAAGAGGATAATATACTTTAAATCTGATTCAAATAAACTTAACTCTCCTCCCAAATTACCATCTCTAGCCATCATTTCCTCTTAGCTAAAGCTTCAATAGTTGCAATAGCATTAGATAAGATACACCATATAAAGTGTTTGTATTTGAGGTAGTATTCTAATCTTTCAGATTTTTTGCTAATAGTTTCTTCCTTAACTGCTCTTGGTTGTGTCATTAGACAAGATTTAAGATTATCATTAATTCTAGTAAGATATGTTAAAAGTGATTTATAAATATAACGGGAAAAAAAATAGTCTTAGTCAATAGCCTTATATCTATTATTATAACTCAATAAATTAACGCACTAATTTAAGTACTTAATTAAAGTGCTGATAGTAAATGAGAGTCCTTTATAAAAATTGAGAGGCACCTTCACATGTGTTTCCCATCCCATGTTAGTGAATAAAATATTACATTTTAAAATAAAATGCTGCCAATAAGCTTATAAAAATATCAAACTGCACAGCTGCACTTTTAATTGGTAGGAGATTAAATACTCAAAGTTGGTAGTTGGCCAAAAAAAAAAATGTCCAAAGTAGGTGAGTGAATACACACACACACACACAGAGCAAGGACCTAAAATTTTTGGGTCAACTTCAATTTTTTACACATAGCTATTGATTAAAATACAATATTAAAAAAAAGAATTATACAAAATTGACACACAGTATAATTAAATATCATAAACTCTATTAATAATTGAGTAAATTAAAATAACATCACTGCATATTTCTTTTTTAAAAAATGACAACACCAGATAGCAAAATGATAACTAATTGTGATGTTATCGCCATGCAAAGGCCATCATCAGCGCAAGGTCATTATTACTCATTATGTATATAAAACTACTCAGTCAATTTATACATTTCTACTCAGTCAAAAAAAAAAAATTGACAAGATCAACATAAAAGTAAAATATACGCCAGTAGATCTTTGCAAATAGTGTTCGGTTTTTTGTTCTTATTATTTTATTGGGTTAATGAGCAAAATAAATTTTGAAATGTTGTCGAAAAAACGCTTTCAACCTTAAACTTTTAAAATATGCAAGATAAACCCTAAATTTTTAAATTATAACAAAATAAATTTTAACGGTTGATACTTCAAAGTTTAGGATTTATTTTGTACAATTTAAAAGTTTAGGGTTAAAGGTACTTTTAAGGCAATACTTTAAGGGTTATTTTGCTCATTAACCCTATTTTATTTTGTTATTATCATTTCCTTTTACTAGCATAAAAAATATTTTTTAAACTTGGTAAAACGGAATTGCTAAAACAGTTCTACAACCAGTATTAATTTAGTGGAATGAATTAATTATGACCTCCTAAACATAAAGTATTGAATTTGAGTATATGTGTGGAAAACATTTTTTTCAAAAAAATTATCCAAGGCGCAAATTGTTTGTTCAGATAAAGTAGAATGTTCTAAACCAATTATTGCCATAATTGGTCTAGAATAAGTGAGTTTCTAAATTGTTTGTGACCATAATTTATTTGGAAATTACACTTTTAATCTGGTTATTATCACAACCAGTCTAAAATCTAGTTTTTAAAATATTTAGTTTGTTTTCCCCCTAACCCCCTGTTCTACACCTAAAAAGAGGAATAGACAGCAAATATGCAAATATTCCAACTAGTCCAATATTTCAATTCAATTGAAATCAATTTTTTAAATATTTAATACCATGCTAAATCATATATCTGTGTTGTAAATTTAGTTTTGAAGCCTTTTTATAAACTTTATTTATGTCAGAAGAGTTTTTTGTTAATTCCCTGTAATTAAGCTGTTAAGATTTGAACAATAACTTGTTTTGGTGAACCAAAAGACTATGTGATCAAACCTCCCCTAGCTACTAGTAGCAGTCTTCCTAGCAATGACAATGCAAGTTTTTTCAAGGGAGAATGACAAAGAGGTGATTCAAATTAGGTACAAAATGTTAAACTTTATAAATTTATAACTAAATCTTTTAATTTTGTAACTGCATTGTAATAAATTTATAATTTATTTTTTAAATTTTAACATAATTGAAGATTAAAAAAAATATTTTTCTGTTAAAATTTAAAATACAGGTTACAAATTCATCATAATAAAGTTGTAAAATTGAAAAATTAAGTTGTAAATTCTTAAAATTTAACATTTAAAATTTAACTTGAATTAATTAATCCTTTTTAAACTTCTTTGTCATTCTTGCTTTTTTTAATGGAACATATCATTTTAGTAATTGACACACAAAATTTAATTACGAGGGGGCATGTAGTGTTTTTTTAAAAATATTTTAGGCTTTAATTGCAAATGTCTTTTTAGCAAGCCCTAAGTGAAATTCTCTCTATTATTATTATTATTATTATTATTACTATTATTATTATTTTTTTGGTTGAAACACTCAAATATCATTACTTTAAATTTAAAAGGAGACCCAAAGTAAGGTGGTATGAATGATAAGGTTAAATTTTAAATAAAGCAATCCAAATTATATGACTTTTTTTTTTTTGGGGGGGGGGTGGGGGAGCTCAGAATCAAAAAGGTGGGTTGTACCTAATCCCAGATTTGGTGGTAATTCTTCCGACCATTTTTTTTTTCCACTACTAATTGGTAATGATTGTTCAAAGATTCTAAGAAAACTCATTCAAAATAATCACATGATTCACAAAGTTGAATCAAAACAAATAATAAATTAAGTGATAATTTTTAACTATATTACAATTACACAAACTAATTTTTATTCCCCTAAACGACGAAGGGAAGAATACATACGACTTCAACAACTGATGATTATTATGAAGTATTCCAAATAATTATCTTCTTTCTATCTTTCATAAGTGTTAGCTTTCCATACATACATTGCTCTAAATAAACAGCCTAATAAAAAACAATACAAACAGCCATAGAAGGTTAACATTATTTAATTGAGTCATAACAAATTTCACATTAACCAATTCATTGTGTTTGGCTGATTTCCTCAAATTCTCGTCATCATCTGGAAACTGCCTCGTCTTGTTCAGTGATAAGACCATCACTCTAAACTGGACTTGGATCTTATGGTATATTCTGCAACAAGTTGAGCAAATGAAGATGACTTGTCCTCTAGCAATTTTGCTGGTGAGTTATACTCTTCAATGAGTCCTGTATCAGTATCCATAGAGATCATATGAAAAAGAGAATTAAAGCATATCAAAGTATAGAAACTAGAGAAGTTCAAAGAAGAAGAATAAGCAACTTAGCTGACCTTGATTAAGAAGCAAAACCATATCACTGTCAAGAATAGAAGTTATTCTATGTGCAATGGTAATGACAGTACAGTCAGAGAAGTGTTGTCGAAGAGTTTGCTGAATCAAATTATCAGTGGCAGTATCAACCGAAGCAGTAGCTTCATCAAGCACCAACACCTTACTTCTCTTAAGTAGCACCCTACCAAGGCACACCAATTGCCTCTGACCCATGCTCCAATTCTCACCGTTTTCATTAACTACACCCATTTTCACAAAAGCAATTAGTTTTCATTTCTGGGATCAGAAATTGTATAATGTGTCTTTGTGATGAAGAAAAATAAGACAAACCTGCAGAGTCCAGCTTTCCTTCTTTCTTTCGAACTTCATCTCCAAGTTGGCACTTATCCAAAGCCTAAGAGCATGTCAGTCAATGAAGGCAAAGCCAAATCAAGAAACAGAAACAAATTTAATTATTGGAACATGACTTGATGTTTGTGTGTGTGAATGTGTGCTTTACAAATATAACAAGCTTGACATATACCAATATATATATGTATGTATGTATGTATAACAAACTTGCCTCCCAAATTTGTTCATCTGTGTACTCTTCCAAAGGGTCTAGATTACTTCTCACTGTGCCTTCAAACATGGTTGGATCTTGAGGAATAATGCTAAGCCTGGACCTCAAATCATGAAGTCCAATTGACGAGATATTAATTCCGTCAATCACAATTTTCCCGGCAGTCGGCTCAATGATCCTAAAAAGTGTTTGTATGAGAGTTGTTTTACCACTTCCTGTTCTCCCTACTATGCCAGTTTTCATTCCTCCGTGGAATTTGCATGTTATGCTATGCAATACAAGTGGTAAATGTGGGGCATAACGAACCTTCATTATGTGCATGAACATCTTTACCGTTACTATAAACATAATGTTGAATCCATCGACAAAAACAATCTTTTATATGGCATAATCCATCCATTTGAAGATAAATTCCAACCCTTAAAAAAGACAGAGAGTACCTGTAGATCAATAATATCAACTTCTCCATGTGAAGGCCATGAAAGATAAGGTCGATTTTCTTCTATTACAAGGGGAGGCTCACTTGGAATGCAAGTGTACTGTAATACTCTCTCCACTGATATAATTTTATTTTCCATTTTGCTAAGATCCACCATCATCCAAGCTTGTAACAAGTTCAGGTTAAGTCCATATGTAACAGCTAATCCAGCAATGCCTTCATATATATGAAACAAAAGAAGTAAACAATTCATATACAAGTTATCAATTGGTTAATATGGTAAAATTGAATTAGTTACCTGGATCTACCACTCCCTTGGACATAAATATCAGGAATATCAAGAAAAAAGCAAATGTGATTGAAGACAACATATCCAAGCGGAAGACGAGCCATTCCATAGTGCCGGCAATATTGAAATTCAGACGAGAATACTCATCCACCAATTTCATATTTGTTTCCTGGAATCTTGACTCCTGATCAAAGCTTCTGATAGTTGTTGCTCCTGAAATTGTTTCAGAGAAGTGTTGAATAATTGGAGCTTTGCAAAGTCCAAGTATCCGTGATAGTTCTCGAGATGTTGGTAAATAGTATTGCTGCATAATTACAAGTTTGTAAGACATAGCTAGTCAATCTATGTCATGATAAAACAGAAACATTCAAATTATAGTTAGCAGATTAGGGCATAATCTATGCAAAACAACAATAGAGGAATGTATTGGAAATATATGGAAGCTTATATTGAGGAAGATGGCATGATTTAAGCAAGATACCTGACACCAAATGCTCATAGATATTACAGGTATGAAGATGATGGAAACCTGCCATGCAACCTGAGACATCACTAATATAATTCCTAAAAGCTGAATTGAAGAGAATGCAAATGATCCACATTTATAAGGAATGTTTGTATCCAATACACTTTGGTCTGTAGAAGCCTGAAAGAGAACAAAGAGGAAATAGAAAGATTTAAGTGACCCAAGCTATTGAATAAAACCAGCAAGATGAAGGAGGTTGTTGATTTAAGTGATATAACATTTAAATTTAAACTTCATAGAATATGACATCTTAATACTATTAAGAGCTTATAGGAAGAAGAAGAAAAACAGTGGCATGTCCACACTTCTACGTACTCTACTAATGATTCTTCCACTTGGAGTGGCATCAAAAAATGACATAGGCGCGCGGAAAATGCAATTGTGCATTTTGTTGAAAAGTAGAGTTGCAGTCTTATAACCCGCAGTAGAAAGGAGCATTGTTCTGGAAAGGATGCAGAAAGAACTTCCTATGGCCAAAGCAACATAGACAATCATAAGCATAAAGGTTCCAGCAGGTGCTATTACATTTGATGAAATGGGAGTTGCCCAGGCCATCCAATAATTGCTTCCAATTTGAAGAAGTTGAAACAGAATTTGAGCCAACAATATAAATGGTACAAGAGCTCCTCCATATGCTGTTGTGATGTATTTCCAATAGACTGAAAGCCCAACTCTACCTTTCTCCCTTTCTTCCTCTTGAATGAGCTGACCTTTTGGTTCAACTACACCATTTGTTTTTCCAATTTGCCTATCTTTATCTTCCTTTTTTTCATTTGTAACTTTTGCATTAGAAATATTTACTTCTCTACTTCTTGCACATAATTTATCAGACGCTTCCCCTCCATCAAATGAATCAAGTGCAGACAAAGCTTTTCTATGTGCTCCAACAAGCTCCATGAAGTCGGTCCCAGAGTCAAGTAAATCATTATACTTTCCACATTGAGTAATTTCCCCATCTTTCATGACCTAAACACAAGATATGATAAGAAAAAGATTAATGAATGCTAGACAATGAAATTTCTTTTTAAATTGACGAGGATTAAATTTTGAGAATCACTCACCAAGATAAGGTCAGCTGGAGGCAAGAACTCTACTTGATGAGTGATATAAATAATTGTCTTCGAACTTAAAAGGCCAAGTAAACATTCCTGCCATATATAAAAATAATGAAAGAGCTAACAAACTAAAAAAATTTTAACAAGTGCGTTGTCAATTTAAAGAATCAAGTTTGAAAATGGTACCAATAAGAATTGAAAACTATATAATATACAAGTTAGAATAGCCAAATATATTTTGCACATGGTGAAAAAAAAATTATCACAACGAGATACCTTAAAATGTAATCCTATATGACAAACAAACTGATCATAATGAATAATTTACCTTAAAGAGGTGGGATCCCGTATGAGCATCCACAGCACTAAAGGGATCATCAAATAGATATATATCAGCCTCTTGATAAAGAGCCCGTGCAATTTGTATTCTCTGTTTCTGTCCACCACTCAAATTGATTCCCCTCTCTCCAATAATAGTCTGATCACCAAATGGCAAAATTTCAAGGTCCTTCTTCAGGGAGCATGCTTCAAGAACCTTCTCATATCTTTCCCTATCCATCTCCTTACCAAATAATATATTCTCTTCGATCTTCCTACTTTGAATCCATGGAGACTGAGCAACAAATGCCTTAGTTCCGCACACTCTTAAGTTTCCTGATATCTTTGGAACTTCTCCCAAAATACAAGATATTAGACTAGACTTGCCTGAACCAACAGTACCACAAACAGCAACTCTCATGCCTTGAAGGATTGTGAGATTTATACTTTTTAACGTTGTAGTAGGAGATGAAAAGTCCCAAGAAAAATTACCATTGGCTACTTCAACAGCTATGTTAGATCTACCCTTTGGAATCTTTTCTATAACATTACACTGCAGCTCTTCAAGACGAAGGAATGATGCAATCCTCTCTAAAGATACCTTAGTTTGTGCTATCATGGAAATTGTCTCTGGAAGCCTATATACTGGCTCTTGAAGCATTCGAAATGTTGCAATCGCAGATAAGATCTTTCCTGATTCAAGTGGGATCCCCATGAGTATACAAGTGCAAAATGTAACCACAGATACGAATGCGGGGGCACCCCATAGGACAAAAGTGATCATGGCTGAAGTATAGACATCTTTCCTTAACCAGCTTTGCTCTGTGTTCCTCAGTTCAATAACCTTAGACAGAAACTTCATTTCCCATCCTTGTAGTTTTAGAATCCTCATATTCCTTAAAATCTCAGATGTGGCCTTCATTCTTTTATCCTTTGACTCCATCAACTTGTCTTCGTATGTTTCTTGCAATGACGCAAAAGGAACATTTGTGAACATTACAACAACAGTTGCAATAAAAGCTGCAATCGAAGCCATCCCGAGATTTCTATACAAAATAAACATGGCCAATGCTACTTGCAGAATTACTATCCATGGATCATGCATGTTCCAAGCAAAGTCTCCAACTCTTTCAGCATCAACTGTCATGAAATTGATTATTTCACCAGTTGTGTGGCCTTGCTTGGACTGACCTGAAAGGGTCAACTCTTTACTGTAGACTATCGTCACGAGCAGTGCTCGGATCTTTATTCCAACTCTCTTCAACCTAAAGAACCATTGCCTATGTGACAAACACTCTATAAGCTTTGCTGCCAAAAACACGGCCACCAGTACATATCCCTCATCCTTAAATGTTTGTTTGCCATTGAGGTATTGAACAAAAGTGTCAATGAGATATGGACCAACGTAAGAAGTCAGTGTGTTCAAAAGTGCAACAATAGCTGTTGCTAATATACCTTCCCAAGATGAGAGTATTAATGACTTTACCAGCTTAATTGTGGTTACTCTCTTTAATGTACCCAACTCATCCTCAAGTTTATTCCTAAAAGCTGGAAAAGCTCCAACTACACTATCACAAGTAGCTAGTTGTGGGACATCCTCGAGGTTTAAAGTCTTCTTTCTGCCAGCAGCAATCAGAGGACCCACCCAAGAGAAGCTAAGAATGCTGAAAACTCCAGCATTAGAGTAAGGAGTAACAGTTTCCTCCCCCTTGGTCTTATTTGACTCTGGTGAATTTCTAACATCAGTATCATCATTCAAAAGAGGTTCTCGAAGAAGGATGTCTTCGCTCTCATTTTTCACCATAAGCACCACGTAGCAAAAGAATACACCCACAAAGGAGGAGACGCCATCAGAAACTAAATACTGAAGAAGTGGTATTGAAAAGTGTTTAAGATGGAGAATAACGTCCAGCATAAAGCAGTAACATGAAATAAGGAGGTAGAAAGCGCACCAAGCTTTGAAGAAAATTGGAAATCTCCTTTCACCTGAATTGAAGAATCCTGTGTGCGAAGAAGCACCAACAATCCCCCAAGCTACTGATTTAAGCGCCATATCCAAAAGGGTCGCCAACTTTTCATCAGACCAATCATGTCCATAACAATATAAGCAATAGAGTAGAAACAGGACAAGGTTAAATGCAGAAACACCAAGACTACAAAACAGAGTCCTCTTATACTGAGTGCTCTTAAGTTTCTCTTTGGAATCATCTCTCGTACCCAGGGAAATCTTTTTCCACGCCCAAGAGACAAGAAACACTAGTAATAAAGCTAAGTGGAGAGAAGCAGAAGCCAAGTGCGAGAAAATGGGATTTTGGAGAAAACCCACCAAAACAAACGCCATTGAATAAGTTGATCGTCAAAGAAGGAACATTCAGAAATGGAGCTTTTTTCTGAAATGGGGGTGCTTGAGGTAATTCAGTGGTTCATGCTCTGTTGATGGTTCTAAGAGGTTGAGAATGGACATGATTTGAGCTTACAAATGGAGAGATTGAGGAAAAGAGTCAAAGATGAGAGAGATTGATTTTGAGGCAGGTTAACGTGGCGTCCAAGGAAGAAGACGACCAAAACGAAAATCAACTCAAAACTCATTTAAAAATATTGGTGGGAACCATTAAGAATGATATTGGAGATCCAAGACCGCAAAAAATTATTTTATATTTTAAAATAAAAATGTTGACTGAAAACTGTGAAAAGAAATCACCTAAATTAATTATAGTTATAGACGGAATTGTTATCCTCGAGCACCCACAGGCCACAACATGTCCGTTGGGGATCAAAACAGTCTCAAGGAAATGGCAATATTGGAGCCGGTGTATAAATAAAGTGTCCAAATTTGTTACACAGTCCATGCAGTGCACAGACAAACTTACATCAAAGACCACGAGTGTGTAAAATTTATGATGGATAATTAAAAAAAATATAATTTTTGTTTCCCATACTTTTAGTATATTTTGGTGTTAGTCCCTGTGTTTTTTTTTTTTTAGTGCTCCAAGTTCCTTAAATTTCATATATATGTAATGTTGCTCTTTATCATCACTGATGGAGTTAAATTTACTAATGTATACATAATTATATTTAATTTTCTTTTCAAATTGATAAAATTATAATGAGTTGGATATTGTATGAGCAAAATGGATACTAATTTGTCTATTTGTTTGCCCTAACTGTGTTTTTTTTTTTTTGGATAAAGGTACAAACTTACTCTTGAATTTTCCCTCCAAGAGTATCGGGTATTTTAAATCTTTTTTTAGCAACATTACCCTAAAACTTTTCAAACTACTACAATATTACCCTGCTATCAGAGTTGATTGTTTGTTGATCATTTTGTCTGACTGGACTTGTCACGTGACTACCACATGCATTTTTTAAAAAATAAAAAAATAATAAAGGTGCAAATTTACTCTAAAACTTTTCCTCCAAGGGCGCCATATCCTCACTTTTTTTAGAAGTACTGTTGCCCTATTGTTAAAATTGACTGTTTTGTTTAACTTTATTTGCCATGTGGTAGCCACGTTGCATTTTTTAAAAATTAAAAAAATGCCGTCTCCTCCCTCCTTATGTCTCAGTTGCACATTACTCTCCCTTCTTCACATTCAGCCATTCTTCTTATTTTCATTCCTCCCTCCTCCACCTCGGCATTTGCAAGACTAGAGCTAAATGAGAAGCCTCATAGCTGTCGCCCGCTGAATTGTTATTTCTCCCTACTTGGCGTTGGTCAATCTAAGTTTTTTATTTTTTGTTCTTGTTTTTTTTGGATATTTTGTATTATTCTTGAATTGTGTTTTTTTATTTTCTTTCTCTCTACCCATTGTCTTTGGTTGTTTTTTGATGTTGAAAATCTGGGTTTGATTGTTTTTTATGTTGAATTTCATCTTATTGTTCTGGTTATTTTGCCTTTTAAGTGTTGTAGATAAAGAAGAAGAAGCTAATGAAGACAAAGCATAACTCTTTTTTTTTTAATTTTCAAAAAAATGCCATGTGGCTACCACGTGGTAAGTGAAGTCAAACAAAATAGTCAACTCTAACAAGGCAACATTGTTTTAAAAAAAAAAGTTAAGGATATCAAGTGCTCCCTGAAGGAAAAGTTTCAAGATAAATTTGTACCTTTATAATTTTTTTAAATGCCACATGGCAAGTCTAGTCAGACAAAACGGTCAACTCTAATGCCATTGTAATGTTGCACCATTTTAGAAAGTTTTAGGTTAATATTGTTCCGAAAAGAAGTTCAAGACACCAAGTGCTCTTGGAGGGAAAGTTGCAAGATAAATTTGCACCTTTGTCCTCTTTTTTCCCTTCTAAAGCTTCATACATTGCACATTTAAATATTCTAATTTAATATGCTGTTTATTTTTTTTTTTGTTTTCTACTCATGTTTTATACAACTCATCATAATTTTAACATTAGTGAGCATATTCTGCATATGTTAGCCATCATTAAGTCCTCATGGTCATATTTAAAAATATATAGACTAATGTTGTAGATAGATAAAATTTAAAGAACTTGAAATAACAGAAAAGGTGTACAAGGACTAACACCAAAATATGTTAAAGTATAAGAACCAACACTAGTATTTGTCCCTAAATAATATTAATATCATTATAGATTTTTCATGTTTGTTCCAACCAAATATGTATTTTACTCATTTGTTTCCATTTATAAGGTAGAGAAAGAGTATTTGTATTGGTGCTTTTTATAGGGTACCTCAATAATGGTTGTGTCCATTGTTATCCTGTTGATCATATTAAATGTTGAAAATGTTATTCAATATTAGAGCATTTTATTTTTAAAATATGTATAGCTAATAAAATTAAAATTAAAAATTTGTTAAATTTTTAAGCAGCTCATATGATGTTTAAGATTCTATGTTTTTTTGTCTTTTTTGTGATTTTTTTAATTCTTTTCTATAATTTTTTAAGTTCTTTTATGTAATTTTTTAATCAACTAATTGTCAAAATTAACGGCAACAGGAATAATGTCACAATTTTAAATGTTTAGGGATGAAAATGCACTAAGAACGAGTTTAGAATGTCAAAGCTCATGGACTGTCAGTTTAAGGGCCAAATTATTATTTTACTGTCTTTAAAAAACTAATTAATATTTTATCTACTTTTTATTAAACTAGACAATTTTTCTCGTGTTTTGCATGACACTACCACAGAAAATACCCATACTTGACGCTTATTTTTCACAATACTTGACGGTTTTTAACAATCAAGTAAGGGTGCGACATATATTAAAGAAATAATACTTGACGGTTAAAAACCGTCAAGTATTAATCTTATACTTGATGGTTATTTGAAAAAAACCGTCAAGTATATGAAGTAAATATGCACTTCTCAGAATAAATACTTGACGCTTGTTCAAGTATATGAAGTAAATATGTACTTCCCAGAATAAATACTTGACGCTTGTTTTGAAACAAGCGTCAAGTATTTATGGCCAAAACCTGCCAGTTCTTTTGGCCATAAATACTTGACTCTTGTTTTCTTATAACTGTTAAATATTTACAAATACTTGACGCTTGTTTTGAAACAAGCGTCAACTATATTGATACTTAACGGTTATTTTGAAATATAATCAACTTTCAAAAAATTAATCAACCATGATTAATTCAAATATAATCGACTATATTAATTCAAACATGAAACAAAAATGGCATAATTAATTCAAAGGTTACTTTGATTAATCAACCATGATTAATTCAAATATAATCGACTATATTTGAAATCCAAATGCCTTCATTGTGATCATTTCTGATGTATAGAGCTTCATCAACAGTGTCGTTACTTTGATTTGATATCCTTTCGAATGGGTCATCTTCAATTGCTACATTTTCATTTATTTTTTCATGTAACATAAGAATAGACCACCCCTTATTAGCAGGGTCAGGGACATAAAACACTTATTTGGCTTGTTACGCTAAAATAAAAGGCTCATCCTTATACCCTTCCTTGTTTAAATTGACTTGTACAAAGCCAAATTGGTAATCAAATTTCAAGCCATTTTTTCGATTAATCCACTTGCACCCAAAGACTGGAACTCGAAAGGATATGTAATCTAAATCCCATATATGCTCAATTACACCAAAGTATGACATGTTTGCATAGATAGGATTTTTATCCTTAGTGCTGGAAATATGCATGGAATGAGCTACAAGAGTTACACCACTATTTTGCATTGTGCTCCTATCATCTTGCTCCCTTGTATAAAATGTGTATCCGTTGATAAGGTAAGCAGTGTAAGAAATGGCCTGTCTACTTGGACCGTTAGCTAACCATCTCAATTTGTTAGAAATTGAATTGGAATTAACATTTAACTTTTAAAGAATGTGCTCCTTAAACCATCTTGTAAAAGTTTTGTTGTGTTCCCTACATACCAAATTTTTGATTTATTGAGATTGTCCCTCCTAAGTTCAGCCATATGCTTGCCTACATACTCTTCAATCTCTTCAGTGTTGTGCGACACATATAAGTGGGCTTGCTCCTACTGTACACTTGACATAGTAATGACTTTGTTTCCCATGATCCCCTCTCCACTCATTCTACCCATATGTTGAGACTTTAGAAGCCCAACATAGCTAATATGACTCAGGTATTCAGTACAAAAGTCAACAGCCTCTTCACAAATATACAGTTCAACAATACAACCCTCCGGTCGACTTCAATTTTTCACATAGCCTTTCAAAATCTTCATATAGCACTTAATAGGATACATCCATCTTAAATAAGCAGGCCCGCACATTTGAACCTCCCTAACCAAGTGAACAGTTAGGTGGATCATAATATCAAAGAATGCCGGTGGAAAATACATCTCAAGCTCACACAGTGTTAATACAATTCGAGCTTGCAACCTTAGCAACTTATGTGGGTTAATCACTTTATTACAAATGAACTTGAAAAACAAACATAACTTAATGATCGTCCCTCATACTTTAGGGGGTAAAATTGCACGTATAGCAACTGGAATGAAATCCTCCATTAAAACATGGCAATCGTGAGACTTTAAGCCCTTCAACTTCAAATCTTTCATTGATACAATATTTTTTATGTTTGAAGAGTAACCCTCAGGAACTTTAACTATATTAAGGAACTCATAAAATGCAGTTTTCTCTTTCTTAAGTAGCGTATAAGTTGCCGGAGGGAGAAAGGTACGATTCCTCTTATCTTGGGGTGCTAATTCTTCTCTTATTCCTAAAAAGACCATGTCCAACCTTGCTTTTATGTCATCTTTTGTTTTTCCTGACACTTAGAGTAAAGTCCCAATAAGACTCTCACAGACATTTTTTTCAATATGCATGACATCAAGAAAATGCCGAACATCTAAGGTGGTCCAATAAAGGAGTTCAAAGAAAATAGATTTCTTCTTCCATTCGGTTGTCCCAAGGTGCCTTGCAAATGGTTTGCCAAATTCAATATCCAAATCCTTAATCTTCTCAAACAACTCATCACCAGTTAACAGTAAAGGTGT